ATATACATATATATATATATTTGCAGACCCATGCCCCTTGACGCACAATCATTCTGTTACCTCAACATGTTGCTGGGATCCTTGCGAAAACCCTAAGCACTAAACCTGCTTTAGGGTTCAGGCTGTATGCGTGCAGAAAAATAGGATCCGGCCTTGCTTTGGTGGCTGGAGCGGAGGCACTGGATGCCTGCAACTCCCGGGGTTCATCGGATGATTCAGCCGAGTCTCAGGTTTGGGCTTGTATGGGTTTAGTCTGCTGGCCTGCATGAATAAGGTACCCCCACTGCCTTATTCCAGTGAGATTGGCCTCCCACGAACCCTAAATTCTCAACCCTACACACCATGTAAATTCAAATGACAGCCTGGCTAATGTCATGAATGCCTTCACACCAACCGTGAATACTAGGGTTCCGTGCAGCTTCTGATAGGATCGTGATGAGTGGCTTCATGGCCTGGAGTTTGGGGTTTACGATGGGGTTTAGGGTCTGGGGTGTAGCCTTTGGGTTAGCTTACGGTGCGTCTCCCCAATCAAGCGTATGGCAATATTACAGAAACTCTAGCTGGAAGCCAGTGGCAATAGCATGCATGCGGCACCTGTGCACCGAAACATCTGATTTTGCTATCTGCAACATCTACAGCATCTGCTTGAAACTGCGCGGTTGCTGCTGTGGCGGCTGCTGCTTCTGGCAGCTTTTCTTTCTACGACGTCTTCTTTGACTACGGCCCTGCTGCTACCGCTTTACCACCATTCCTGTCGCCGCCGCCGCTGCCGCCGCCGCTGCTGCTGCTGCACTGTCATTACAATCGTTGCAGTCATGATCATCAGCAGCAGCATCGCAGCAGCGCCAACGTTCGTCCAAGTCTCGCTATTCTGGTGTATCAGGCTTGTGGCCTGCTTGGCCTTGGCATACTCGGCCCACACGACGACTGCTCGACCCCAAGTAACAATTGCTCTCTCAACTTGATCTCCAGAACCGGAATGCAGGACTTCAAACTTGAACGCGCATCCGTTTCTGTGAATGTACGGCTGAACATTCCTAGAGCTATGTCTCAACCTATCTCTCAACATAGAGGACTCTTACTGCCAGGACGCAGGGTCAACATAACGCTGAGCCCCCCAGAGACCTGCCCTAACCCTGAGACTCCAATTCCTGAAATTGCGAAACCTAAGGCCAAGAGCAGGGGTAACTCAGAGGGCTTAAAGCTTCGGGCAGGGACTTTTGCGGGCTTGAAATGTCTAAGTAGACACCGCATGCGATTTCTGTCAGACCGTCCTCAATCACCTCCAAACTCTACGTGGTAGTGTCTCAACATTAAGGTGCATAACATTGACCTTCACCATCAGAGTCACAGGGGACCACATGATCTTGTTCGGAGATCTAGGGCTTATGGCGCAGGGCCTATGGTCTGCTCAACATTTGGGGGTCCGACGCTCTGGACACTAGAAACACGAACCAGGGCCCTTCGGAAGCAATGATCAAGCGCAGCAGAATCAACATGAAACTTCCGTCTCCCCATTCGCCTCAACCTTCTGTCGTTTCACTGGCGCTGACTGTACCTCCCAAAGAGGTGCTTCCAGGGTTGTAGTTTCTGGGCTGTGGTGCTTAGAGTTGGAGTTTAGGGCTTTGGGTTAAGGGTTCAACCGATATTCCTTAATATGCCCTTTTAGGGAGTTTCCCTGGCCTGAAACCTTGACCCTCAACCTGTGAAGTCTAAGCTCCGAGGCCATCATATGACTGACACATATATATGTGGGTGGTGGTCAAAATTATGGTCCCTTTTAGGATCCCTATTATAATGCGGCACCTAATACTTAGGGTACCCAGAAAGGGGACCATAATTTTGACAACCACCCATGTGCATATATAGCCCCATGGACCACCCTAGGCCCGCCGAACCTAATCCCACGTCATTTGTTGCCAAGCCCCTTGCCTGCCTCTTCAGTGTTGGTTTTGGCTTCCTTCAGCATGGCCTGTAGGCAGGGGGCCACGGTTTGGACTGCATCATGCCCAAGGTGAGAGCTCGCCGGTTCACAGCTTAGGAATTCGGGATCATGGGGCTTCAGAAGTGGTCGTGGATACCGAAAAAAAGAAACGATGCAGTCACACAGTCTTCGGGTTTAAGCCTGCAGCTCTAAGGAAAGCTACACGGAAAAGAAGACTAGTAGCAGCTGGTAAGCCGTGATTGTGGTGGTGCTAGACTGCGCTGGAGAGCAAAGTTGGGGGGATCGCGATTCCCCAAAGAATGGTAGCGCTTGCAGCCATGCCAGCAGCGGCACCAGCACGAGCGGCAGCTACACACAGCAAACATCAGTGGTTAACACGGTTGTTTGACTGACAATAGGGGCCTTTGACCAGCCTATGACTGCCATAGAGTTCAAGATTCCTGGCCTTCAAAGCCAAAAATCTTGAGCTGACACCTGCAACAATCAGCCTCAGCCGTACCAAGCTTCAAAACCTCCAACCCTTGAAAAGCGTAAATGCTACTGCTAAACCCTGTAGAAACCCTAACATGATCCTGTACATCGCGAAATCCAGAACCCCAAGCTGTGAGCAAACCCTAAGGAAGCCCAAAAGCTTGAAGCCCAAACCCTACAGGCACACGTGGAGGCAAGACCGACCCTTCCAGAAGCTACAGAACACCATGGAACGCAGCGGTCAGGGCGAAGGCAAAGAAGTCAAGACCGGAAAGTGGAAACACCATGTAAACGCATGGGCAAACGCCAATGGATCCCCAAATCTCATCCAAAATCTTGCCTCCCCATTTGAACGCTGGCAATCAAGGCTCTTCAAACCCAGGCATCGGCATACACATTTTGCACCGTTCCCCAAGTGAACGCAGCTGACGCAAAGCAACTCCACACGGTCGTATACGGCCGCTCAAGTACTCAAGTTCTACTCTCAAGTTGTACTACCAGAGAACGAAAACCCATCAGGTCGCCGAGAACGGC